GGGCCCCTGCGGAGGCGCGGCCGCCGCCGCGCGGGAGGGGCACGGGCGGTTCTCCTGGTTCTCCTGCCGGATAGAGGTGCGGGAGCTCGGTTGCTGGTGACTAAGCTCGTTTGAACTCGGGAGGCGCCCCGCTGTCCCGCACAACTGCGCTATTGGCATGAGTTGCTCTCTCTGTAAATAGGCTTAGCTTGTTCCGTGTTAGCATTTTTCTGGCTTTTTTCCCCCTACATTGCTTGGAGTCTTGTACCCTCTTTTGTGTTATTTTTCCCCCGTTCTGTTAAGCGGTTTCCTTCAGTCTTGTTTTTTGTTCGCTTAATCATTTAATGATCGTCATGGTGTACAGGATGTAGCTAAGTATGATCGCATGCACCGTGTTGTGGTGTGGCAGCCTGGAGAATATCCGTTCACATAAACCTCAGATTAGCACAAGAAAGGGAGTAGGCACTGGGAGTAGCTGTACGGAAGGAAATTCAAGGGGAATAACGCAGAGGTTAAAAAACAGAGCAGGTGGACTTGGCCTACGAAGAAATACATTTTCCTATTGCTCATCTCTGTTTCGGTTGTCTAAATACAGATAGATGTGTAATTCAAGTGAATTTTGGCCTGTCTTAAACACTAAAGTCAACAGTCATCTTGCACCACTCCTAGCAGACAAGGAAACTTTGTAAGACCAATCTTGCGGTGCTGGATTTCTGACAACATCTGTTAATAATGTCGCGTTTTTCTCTTGATTGTGTATAAATGGTGTATTGGTGTCAGGGAATAGGGGAGGGAAGTTGTTACTGCTTGTGAGCCTTGATAAAAATTCAGTAACCACAAATTCTTTCAAATCAACCTGATGTCTTGCATGAAGAGATCTACTCACATGGGAAATAGAAGTAGGATAGTAATTTTGAAAGAAGGTGAGGTTCAGTCAGAAGGGAATTTATTTTACTGCAGATATATAGTTTTCAAAGAAAATCCCAGAAATCCACAGATGCCTCTGAAAGGCAACTTGTACAAAATTGACAGGTGACTAAATAATAATTTCATTTATTTCTACGTATTTTATTTCATAAGTAATTATTTTACTAACAAGTAAGTAGTTCTGAGATGCTGTTTTATAGTGCAGAAGAAACTTGATTTATTTTCTCATCTTTCACTGTATTAAAGCTGTGACAGTTATCCTAAGAGTGAAATGCGTTCTGACTGGATATATTACCTGTTTGTTAATTACTACCACAGAAGAGAGTGTGTATAACTATAAAATACAGTATACATAAGAGATGTGATAACTCTGGTATTACCACAGGGACTGAATTGCATGAAGCTGTTTTGTATTTTATACTTTGCCAAATGGCACGTCGCATCATTCTCATCACCATCAGTGTTATGTTTGTAAATAGTATGTAGGCAGAGTTTGGCTTTTAACTGTTTGAAGATTCTGTTACATCCTTGGCTTACACAAAGTCACTCACACTTTACACTTTCTAAAATTTTTGCAGCTAACTTTTCTGAACAAGTAGTTGAAAGCTTTCCATCTGATATCTCCACTGGTATATACTATGGATGGGCCTGTGTTGGAAATGGAGATGTGCATAAAATGGTTTTGAGCATAGGATGGAATCCTTTCTATAAGAATATTAAGAAATCAGTGGTAAGAATTTTGCTTTGTGTGGGATTTTTATTATAATAAATGATCCAGATGTTGAATTTGAATAAGATAAGCAGAATTTGATCCATAAATGAGATCTAAAAATTCTGTTTGCTCTTAGAAATGTATTTGGTATCCGTATCATAAGTTTGTATTCTGAAAAGAAAATACTCTCAGTAGCCAGAGGGTATGCATCTGCAGGTGAATAAAGTTTATTTTCTTTGTCCTATTCCATCGTTACTTAAATACTTCCATAATAAAAATTTAACAGTATTGCTGAAATGGTGGTTGCTTATGCTGATGGCTAACTAAACATAATCTTGATAGATGCATTGAATTTACTGGTTATGAGAGCCCTAGCATGAGCTGGAACATACTAATCTATTGTTCTCTGCAATCTATCTACGTTTTAAATAAGAGAAGTTGGGGCATCTTAATTTGTAATGATTTTCTATTAATTCTTCTTTTAAATGATGGAATCCATACATGTGGTGCTGTAGCTTGATATACAGAATAAATATTCAAAGGTACATAATAATAGGATGGAGGAGTTGAGTTAAAATCCTGAGCTGTGACAGCTGTGTTTTTCCTGCTGTCGGGTGCTGGTGCTTTCCTGAGTCTTGCAGAGCTCTGTTTTAATTGTTGAAAACACTTTTATTTGCGCATGAATCTCTGCTTCTAAGGTTCTAAGTGTTTGAAGACTCTGTGATGTGCTTGTCTTACGCAAATGTACACTTCTAAAAATTTTTGCAGATAACTTTTCTGAGCAAGTAGTCAAAAGCTTTCCATCTGATATCTCTGCTGGTATATGCTATGGGTGGGCCTATGTTGGAGAGGGAGATGTGCACAAAATGGTTTTGAGCGTAAGATGGAACCCTGTCTCAGCCTTTGCTCCTTGAATTTCATCATTCAGTTCCCATGTGAGCTGGTTGTAAAAGCTCTCCTTAAGCCAACTATTTCAACCAAAATCTTCATAGTTGTTTGGACGCATCAGCTTAATGATGAAACGTTAAGCTTTGTTTGTGATTTGCTGCCTTGGAAATCTTACCTCTGAGAAGTGGTGAGCATTTCTCCTGAGTAATGGCTTTCTTTTCTTTTTTTCTTTTGGCTATCAGAATACTCTTAAGTGAGTAATTTTTCTTAAATTCCATGCAGAGTACAATTCTCCTTCCTTACATAAGCAAAAGCCCTAGCCTTTTAATCTTGCATTATACATGCTAAATTAAATGTCCCGTTTATTGGTATGTGTTGGGGAGAATTTGAATTAGGGATATTAGCTGTACATCTACAGTGAGGGAAATAAACTCAAAGTTCATCATAAATGCCAACTTGTTTCTCTTTCTTTAGGAAACGCACATTATCCACACCTTCAAAGAAGACTTTTATGGAGAAATTCCTAGTATAGTCATAACTGGATATATTCGACCAGAAAAAAACTTTGATTCCGTAGGTCAGTATTGCAGGTCTCCCTCAAACTAGTCTCTTATTTGTGTTATTCAAGCAAGTACTGTGTCTTCACTGTCTCTCTTTCCATAGTGAGATGTTTTATCTGTTAACTTTTGACATTTCAGTAAAATGTTTTTATAAGCTAAATGTACAAGTTGGTTTAATTAAAAAAAAAAAAAAGTTGGAAGATGTAGGGGTATATTTTTGTATCACACTAAAAAATTGTATTGTGTCGCTTGTCTGAGGAGTAATTTTAAAATCATGGGCTTGTCATAAAAGCATCGGCCTAGTCTGTTGATTTCTTTTTAGAATGCAGCTCTGTTAGAACTGAAACAGTTCATGAAACTCTATTGATCTTTTGCTAAAATGTCTTTTGGAACAAGGAGAGGGTAGTGCTTATAACGGTGAAAAATGCAACTCTGGCAAGTTAATAAAAAAAAAAGGGCATTCTGAAGCCAAAGAATTTTGCCTTTCAAACACTGTGATAATAATTATATTCTACTTCTGTGACTGTTGTCTGGTATTCTGTGGTACACCTTATTTTCACTTGCTATTGTGTGTTCAGAATTAAAACCAACTTTTAAATGTCCCTATTCTTATCTTTTTCAGAGGAGCTCATTTCAGCAATTCAGGAAGACATTGAAGAAGCAAAAAGACAGCTAGATTTACCAGAACATCTTAAACTCAAAGAAGATAACTTCTTTCATCTGCCAGAAGGCAAAATAGTGAACAACCACTGAGCAAACCCATGCTGCTTTCTTTTTCTTTTTTCCCTCCCCTGTCATGGAGCTTTTATATTTGCACTGCTTTTATAGGTACTTTGTTATCGTGTGTCTGTTTAGGTAACTGAGGTTGGAACCGACCGCACAAGATGATTTCAGTTTCCTTGTGTTAATTCATCATTAACCCAGTTATGCAAGAGGAGCAGAAGGCTGTTTTAGGTCCTTAGAGATAAACTGTGTATCCTAAAGTTGTTCAGAGATCTGAGCACATGCGGAACATGACCAAAGTTAATCGTGACCTCTTCTGACCCTAAGGTATGGGTAGTTCATTTAAGTGAAGAATGTCTGTTTTTAACGTACCGAATGTTATTCCAACCTCTTTTCCCAGTTTTATGTTATTCTTACATCTGGATTTTAGCTAGTAACTTGGAAAATTTTGCTATTGATTGAGTCAGAAATTTCCTGTGGTGCAGGAAGCCAATGATTAGATAACAATAACAAGACTAATTCTCTATAGTTCTTATTTTTTATATGCTATTCAGCTGTCATGGTTGAAGCTGTCATTTTAATTGAAATTATTTATTTTAACTTTATTTGAAATGGAGGAAATCACTTACTCATTGAGTTACTGGAATCTGAGATATACTTCTTCATAGTTGACTGTACGTATGACAACACATGACCTGCGTAGTTTACTTCTGAGGAAGTGTTTCACTGAAATTCAGGAAATGAATGACAGTGTGAAAGTTGATAAACTTTAAAGGTTCAGGCACAAAAGATGCAGAAACAGTATAACAAGACTTCTGCTCTTTGGGCCTTAAGGCAAAAGAGGTAATGAAAGGCAACTTTGCATTTTATCTACTGCCGGCATTTGTCGTAGGAAAATGGGGAGAACCTTGGGTTATTCACTACACTGGCAATAAAATGGCTGACTTCCAAGATTGATGTTAGTGTAAGGCACAGGAAAATCTCATCAACTCTCTGCACCAAGTGCAGGTAAGAGCTACGGTTTTGGCTGTCCAAGTAGATCAATACACAAATGAAAGCCTTTGGGGATTTACGGAATAGTATATCGATACTATACTGGGTATTGGTTATTTATTACAAGTAATTGCAGCCATTCCTACTCTGAAATGAAGGGATAAGTAAATAGAGGGGGTATTGTCAAAATTGATAGTAACTTAAAGTATGTAATGTGTGATTCCAAATCTACTCTTTTTTTTTCCTCTGATAAATTTTTCTATCCCCTTCTCAGTGAGTGGAACTAGGTAAGCTGCAGTGACTTTGTCATGTTCATTATCTTTTGACATTGGCTTGTGACGTGGCTGGAACAATTTTCTGAAATTGAAAATGGTTCTGTGGATATGTCTCAACTGTAGTTCTGTGTCTGAAGTACCACGTACTATTTGGAACGCACAATTTTTGTAGTGCAATTTTATGAATTTACTCCTCGTCCTATCCTATTTGAATCCTACTTTTCACCCTAGGGTTTAAGAGGGTTTTAACAAGGTAGCCGTTTGAGTCTGTGGCAGGTGCTGTCAGGATGTTAGTTCCACTTCATATTGTTTTAACTTTCAGCCAATATCATGGGATATTATTAGGAAAGAGGTCTTGAGCAAATCAAGGACTCATGTTTGCTCCGTAGGACTTGGGGAGAAACTTGATTTCATTTAAATGAATTGTTCACCAGTGCTGCGGATAGCAGAGAGAGACAGAATACAGAAAAAAAAAAAAAAAAAGGGGGGGGGGGGGGGCAGTTACCAGCAGTTAGACAGACTTTCTTTTAAAGGAGAACAAAACATTTTAGTGGACTTTCACTATATAACGTGTTGGAAACTATTTCTAAAAAGTCTGTAAAAGAATTGTCTTGCAAGAGTGACAGTTGGATTTTTTTACCTTTTAAAATGGAGGGATGAAGGGAGAATTTTTTTTTCCAAAGATTTGAGGCATTCTTGAGATTGTAATAATTAGACAGACTTTCTTTTAAAGGAGAACAAAACATTTTAGTGGACTTTCACTATATAACGTGTTGGAAACTATTTCTAAAAAGTCTGTAAAAGAATTGTCTTGCAAGAGTGACAGTTGGATTTTTTTACCTTTTAAAATGGAGGGATGAAGGGAGAATTTTTTTTTCCAAAGATTTGAGGCATTCTTGAGATTGTAATAATGTCAAAATCTTCTATTTTACTTCTTTTTTTAAAGAATAAACAAAAGCCACACTAGTCAACTGAATATGCTGTCAAGAATATATTTAAAGAATAAATTGTTGTTCATCATGGTACTGTAGCTGAACACTCATAGCCTTCTTTAAAATTGTTTTTTGCCAGTAATTTCACATGTCTATTGCGGAAACCATGGTGCCTTAAGCTGGTTGTCTGAATAATACTTTTCTGTATCTGCTAATAAATGTTACTATCAAAAATTCAATTCACCATTCGGTTATAGAACTACTGTGCTATCGACAGAGAACAGTGGCAAAGGGAAGACTTGAAAAACTGTTAGTTTGCTCTCAAATCTTAGCTGAGGTGTGATGTATGGATACACTGAACTAATAAACTGCTCTTTGTGTGTTTGTCTTCAAATTAGAGAAAATGTTATTACCTTCATTTGGCTGAGTGTACCTGTCCACATTATTTAAGAGAAAATGTTATATCAACTGTTTAAGCTCAATACATAATTCCTAGCACAGTATAAACTTTACAAAGGGTTATATTTTTGTATTATGTACAAATAACTATTTATTTCAGTTGATGTTGCTGCACTGTACCATTAATAAAGGAACTGTAATTGACAAAGTTATCCTTCTTGTAGGTTTCCTTTCCTTTGCCATGCCTAGCAAAGTTAGTTGTCTCAGTCTTAGGCAAAGCTTTGTGGGGGTGACTGCCTAAAAAACTAGACTGACAAAAAAGAGTAGGGAGAGGTTGTTCAACCTTCCTAGTGTGTCTGAAAACTGGCCCCACTCTGGGGACTTTTGTGGTTTAGTCAGAACTTAGGGGAGCTACAGCCTTAGAATTCACAGCCTGAAACCTGTGAATCGATTTGTCTATACGCTTTCTTTCAAAACTTTTAAAAACTGCTTGTTTCTTTTAGCATTCAGATGGAAGAAGGTGCATTCTTGTCCTATGTTCTGCTTCAACTGTTAAACATTCATCTAGGTCAGGGCAAAGTTTTGTCTGCTGCTGCTGAAGGAGAGTCAAACTTGTATCTTAAAACACATTATTGTGGCACTGGCCTCTTGGGAAAAAGTTCCTCTCATACTTACAAACAGTTGCCAGGAGTGAATGTAGACCTTTATATATCCTCTTCCTAGCATCACTGAAGTTACATCAAGAAAGAATGTAACGTATTGTGGTAGTATATGTGGTAAGGGTTGCTTTTTTGTGTCAGGTGCAGTGGACTCTTCAGTGTAGGCTGGTATCTGTCAGAAGTCATGCTTTTAACAAGAGTGCCCAGAATGGAGGTGTGGCTTTAAGAGAGAGAAATCCTCAAGCACCTATGTTGTTCAAGGCTGGTTTTTTACCACTCAGTGCTATAATTTGCAAGCATCTAGGTTTTCTACTACTTTTCTTCTGGAATTAAAATGAAATTAAAAAATATCAGAATGCCTTCAGATGTCTTTTTGTCATGAATATGCTTTATATAGAGGTATAACCTTTTTTCCAGACATGCTTGTATTTTCTGAAGGGAGAAGAAAGGTGTAAAAAAACCAACCCAAAACAAAAAAAAACAAACCAAAAACCCCACAAAAAAACCTAATAAGCAGAGGGCCGTACCTGCTATTGTGATGGTTGGAAACCTTATGTTATCTACTCTTCCAGAGGAACATTTGGGTAGATTTGTGGCCTCTTTTGCTTTTCAAATGGGCTGGAGCTTTAAAAATGTTACAGTGGAATTTATTATCTAATTAATTGCATAACTGAAGGAGGTGATCTCTGTCTTGACCTGTAATGGTTGGGAACTAATTTTGGCTTCTTGTTTGTGGCTCAGAATAGCCAAGTGCTTAGTATCTTTTATGTGTTCTTAAGTTTGCACTTGGTTTGCGTCTCCCACGGTGCTAAGATTCATAAGCGAAAGAGGAAGGCACAATTCGGTGTAATCAATTAATACAGTAAGATACATATTTAGCATTTTTGTTTCCTAATGATGAGAACCTAGGTGAGGGAATTAGTTTTTTGCATAAGGACCAGGGAAAAAAAAAGAAAACATGGAATTGAAGATGATGTTAAGTGACAAGAAAGAGAAGAGAGGATACAGCAAAATAACTGGATGGGGATTTTGGTCATGGCACACACAGTGAACAAGGATGGAGGAACTCGGGGGAAAAAAATTGAGGAAGAATAGTTTAACATTAATGGTTGTTAGAAAAGTGTAGAACCTCAACTCCTAATGAAAAAGACCAGTCATCTAGATACTGAATTGATAATATAAATTAGGAACTATAAAAGAATGTTTATTTACCTTTATCTTACACATCCAATTGCGTATTAAAAACGTGCAAAGTCATGCAAAGAAAAAATAAGTGCGTCTGTTTTGTTGGTTAAGGAAGTCTGCCTCCTGCTTAAACCTATTCTGAAAAAGGACAGTGGGAAAAAGTTGTAATTTCTGCCTACTTTACAACGTTATACACTTTCCTAGGGAAAAAATCTTCCGTTGTGTTCACAATTAATGAAGTCTCAGGAGATTTGTTAAAATCAGTTTTTAGACATGTATTAGGCAACTCCCTAAATATTTCTGAGCAGTAGGAACCAACCAATAAAAGTAGGAACATATCGTACTTGGAAAGAGGGCAGAAGTTACATGTGCGTATGATGTCTACTATTAATTTTGGATCTTAATATCTATAAACTTATCTAGTTCATTGCAAATATGTATGTCCAGCCAGAATCTTCAGTCACCTGTTCTTTGATTGCAGAAGTGATAGCTTATATATCCATCTGTATGTTCTTGAAAAGGTAATACTGCGATTATGATATTTTGTATTAAATTGATTCAGCACTTGAAATGAGCTTTTAAACCCTAATTCCTAATCCTAGCATCTTTGGTGTCACCATATACCTACTAAGTAGAAAAAAACGAGTCAGAGTGTAAAAAACTTCTTAGTCTTTCTATTCAGAAGTCCTTTTGAACGCTCAGAACATCTGTCTGTTCCTCATCAGGTTGCATGTTTGGTTATTCTTTAAAATTCAGGCTTGAAACCACACGTGTTTTTTTAGGTTGAGGGTAGATGAAAAATCTATGGTTAACACAGCTCTGTTCTGCTGAAAGAAATGTACCTTTCCCTCCCTACCTCCCTTCCCCATATATATAATGCAAATACATATTTCTCTTTAAATACCTGTCGTTTGTCATGGGAAAACCAAATGTCTCAAAATCCATTTGAAATGCTTCTATGGTAACTTACTGTGCTGGTTTTGGCTGGGATAGAATTAATTTTCTTTATAGTAGCTAGCATGGGGCTGTGTGTTGGATTTGTGCTGGAAACAGTGTTGATAACACAGGGATGTTTTCATTACTGCTGAGCAGTGCTGACACAGAGTCAAGGCCTTTTCTGCTTCTCACACCACCCCACCAGCGAGTGGGCTGGGGGTGCACAAGAAGTTGGGAGGGGGCACAGCCGGGACAGCTGACCCCAACTGACCACAGGGATGTTCTACACCATATGATGTCATGCTCAGCACGTAAAGCTGGGGGAAGAAGAAGGAAGGGGGGACGTTTGGAGTGATGGCGTTTGACTTCCCAAGCAATCATTACACATAATGGAGCCCTGCTTTCCTGGAGATGGCTGAACACCTGCCTGCTGAGGGGGAGGAGTGAATGAATTCCTTGTTTTGCTTTGCTTGTGGGCACGGCTTTTGCTTTACCTATTTCACTGTCTTTATCTCAACCCATGAGTTTTCTCACTTTTACCCTTCCGATTCTCTCCCCCATCCCGACAAATTCAATTATATTCAATACCACACTCTTAAATTTAAGAGCTGTTGTAATAAAGAAAAACATAAATGTTGTCCAGGGATTTACTAGGGCACTGTTCTGAACTGCTCATTTGAAATGAGGAGCAGTCCAGAACTGTGCCTTAGTGTGCTCATTGCAAATGAGGAGAATAATTCAGCTTAAAATGGTAAATTTCAGTATAGTGCTCCAAAGCCAAATCCAGCTCTGTAATCCCAACAGACTACAAAAAGGAAGAGCTGGGACATATGTGAATTTAGGGGACTTGCTGTAGGAAGGTATTCATATGGAGATTTTGTACTAGCCAGCCACAGAATACTATTACCCTCTATCTAAGAGGCCAAACTCTGAGTAGGAAGGGAAGTAAAAAGTTTGGGAAGAAATTGTGTAAAATAGCTCTCCTCAATGCTGTCACCTAACCATTTCCCTCCAACAGGGTGGCTCTGATATGTTTTAAGTGGAACTTTTATGCCTGCAGAAAACTAAGACCTTGGTTATGCTTGGCACAGACTTTATTCAACATGCTACTTGCCTCCTAAATGTCAAGGAGATTTGTGCATTGTACCTCGCACGCAGGAAGGCTGCCAGGAAGGTTGTTGGTCTCGGCATTCAATTCTGTATTTTGATCCAAGCAGTCATAGCAATGGGAAAATAGATGTCTGATGAAAGAGCAATTACAAGACAATAGGCTATTTATTTTGCTGAAAATCAAAAACCAGAATGAAACCAAAGTGGGGTGCAGATTGATCTTGGCACTTCAGTTAGCATATCCAGCGGTTTCAAATAAATATGACTTTTATAGCTGATGGGTTGGCTGATAGTATCCATTAGCCCCATGCAGCAAATCACGACACTTCGTTGTTCTGCCTGTTATTGCAAAGTAGTTTAAAATGTTGACATTTCGAATGAAAGACAGGAAAGAAAATGTTTTGAGTAAAAGGAAGAGGGAGATCTGTAGACATACTGAGCCTCTTCCCACTAGAGGAAATGGT